CTACAAAGTTTGTTAAAATTCCTGTAATGTACATCGATTAACTGGAGGGAAATGTTTTTTTTTCTTTCTAAAGTGGAATTAAGTTAAACACTGCACTTAAAAATCAAAAAATGCATTTACCAAAGAATACATTATTCTTTTTTAATAAGTCAAAATCAGATTTTTAAAAGCTGCAATAAATTCATTACTTTACGACGAAACAGAATTTTGAACTATACGAGAGAGAGGGAAAAAAAAAAAAATTGATCAAACTTTAATGAATCCTTTGATAAATTATACAGATCCGTTTAGCAGAAATGAACTGCTCCTCCGTTTGCCCTTTTGTTTATTAAAGCCTGCTTTTAGAAAGCCAGATTATTAGTTAATTAAAGCGTGACATATGTTTTGTTTTGTTTTTTTTCCGTGGCGTACAGCTGGAGACCTACATAATTACCATTTCAGAAAAGGATACAAAGGTAAAAAAAAAGGGTTTGTTTTGAAAATGTTTGTTAACAAACAAAAGAAAAAGGAAAAAAAACTGGAACAACATGTATCCATTTTGTGAATGTTTTAACTTGAGGTCAATGTAAACTGTAGTGAGTGATGCAGATTGCAAAACGCCCACCGAAATCAGATATACACTAAAAAAAATGTTGTCTGATTATTTATTTCTTAAAAAAATCTAATAAATTCAAAAGTGAGAGAAGAGGGGGTCGAGGTTTAATGGGCTAATGAACTAGAGTGCCTCCATCCAAAAATACAAGGCGACTTTCTAGGATGGAATCCAAGGATACAGACACAATGTATAAGTAAAATAATTGTTAAAATGGTAATTAGTCACATCATACAAAAAAATAATTAAATATCATCTTCATTATATTATATATTTTTTTTGTAGATAATCACTGATAAAGTAATTCATCCTCAAAACACATTGACTGTAACTTGTTATCTGTAAAATGGGACATTCAATATAATATGTGTATGAATATATATTTATATATATATATATATATATATATATATATATATATCCATTAGCGCAGGTAAGGACACTTTATTTCCACTAAAAAAACTTTAGTGTAAATAATAAAAATGGAAAAAAAATTGGTGGGAAATTTAGGGTACTGAAGTTTGTAACTGTGTCACAGCTGCGTGCAATTTTAAGGCTTGACATGTTGGGTATCTATCTGCTCGTCACATAGTTACATAGTTAGTCTGGCTGAAAAAAAAAAAAACAAAAGTCCATCCACTTCAACCATTAAAAAAAAAAAAAAAAGTTATAATCCTACACCCACAGTTGATCCAGAGGAAGACAAACAAACCCAGCAAAGCACGATCCAATTTGCTCCTGCAGGGAAAAAATTCCTTCCTGATCAAATCTTGAGTACCGTATTATGATTGGGCAGCACAGTGGCTAAATGGTTAGCACTTCCACCTGGCAGTACTCGGGTAGTTGGTTCGAATCCCCACCATGGCACCACCTGCCTGGAGTTTGCATGTCCTCCCTGTGCCTGCATGGGTTTCTTATGGGTACTCCAGTTTCTTTCCACACTCCAAAGACATGCTGGGAGGTGAATTGGCTCCTGTCTAAATTTTCGCTAGTATGTATGAATGTGAGTTAGGGACTTTAGATTGTGTGCTCCTCGGGGGCGGGGACTGATGTGAATGTACAATATATATGTAAAGCGCTGCGTAAATTGACGGCGCTATATAAATACCTGAAATAAATAAATAAAATAAATGATTGCATACCCTTAAAATAACTTTCGTCTATCCATCCCTCTTAGATTGTACGCTCCTCAGGGGCGGGGACTGATGTGAATGTACAATATATATGTAAAGCACTGTGTAAATTTATGGTGCTATATAAGTACCTGAAATAAATAAATAAAATAAATGACTGCGTACCCTAAAAATAACTTTCATCTATCCTTGCCTCTTAGATTGTAAGCTCTCAGCCCTCTGGGCCCTAGGGTCCCTCCTGTATTAAGTGCTCTTGCATGGCAGACCACCTCCTGTTAGCTCACATATATATTCTTATTATTATAGCCAAATTTACCACCCTAACTCCTCCCACAGTTTTTACACTACATAGACAGTAATATACCGAAACGTGCGGATTGTTCCCGATTGGTGTGCTATTACTTTGTGGAACGTTTCGCAGAATGGTTCACGAAATATCGGCATTTTTGTGGTGAAATTGGTCCAATAGGAATGAATGGCAGAATGTTCAAAACTAGAGTGGGAGCTGACAAAAGCTAGAGAGTGAGCTGAAAAATCAGGACATGATTTCTAAACTGCCATCACTCCCTCATTTTCAAGCCCAGCTACACAAATCTTATATCAAAACGTTCAGCTATCCCCGCTGCCACTAAAAATGTCCATAAGCCATAGTCCTGATAGTTTTCACAATATGACCATTTGTTTGCAACTCACGCCGCCCATTGACATTCACTGAAACTCCACTCTAGCCACCTCAAATTTGAATGGCAATTTCTAAACTGTGACTGTGCCTTCATTTTTAATATTTCAGAGACATACTGTGCATCAAAATGTAGGTCTGGGTCTTGTGATTCTCACAATATAAAGCTCTTCGGTGTAGGATTTATAATTTTTTAAACTACAACTGTTTGAAAATGGCAACTGCCAGTGAAGTGAGCAAGTTGGAGCAGTTTGTTTTTAACCGCTCTTCTCTGCCCTTGCTGTAGAGTGAGTTTCCATAGGACCCAGGTGTGTGAGCAGGCAGCAGAGTGACAAGCCACTCCCCCCAGTTACTCCACCCACTCCAGTTATAGACTACTGGTGGAGGCAAGAACACTTCACACAATTTCCCCGGAAATTGTAGCTTTTCTAGTTTGTATTGTGATTGTGCTGTCTGCCTTCATGTTGTAAAGTGCTGCATAAACTGTTGGCTATATAAATCCTGAATAATAGTAATAACAATATATTTTTTTACTGAAATATTGCACTTGGTAAACCATTACGCTAATATTGTGTGAAACTACCACCATTTTATTCTCAAAGCTTTCTGCTCTCAGAAAATATATAATATTTTGGGGACTATAAATAATCTTCAGTACTAAAATGATTTTTTCAAACACATAAAAAAACAAACAAAAAACAAATCTCTGGCAGCAAAAGGGTTTTTACCCCTTATATGGGGGAGGGAGATATATATAATATATAATATATATATATATATATATATATATATATATATATATATATATATATATATATATATATATATATAATTTTTTTTTCACTTACTATTTAATTGTTTTTTTTTTTTTTTTTAATGCCAGGGTTCGGCTTTGGAGGTCAGCCTATCAGCTGTACTGTCTGGCACAGAAGCCTGAATCTGGCACAAAACTGAATGAGTCACCACAATGGCTCCTCCTACCGGAACCTATTCTCGGAGGAAAAAAAGCCCTGTATATATATATATATATATATATATATACAGGGGCGGACTGACAACTCATGGGGCCCCCGGGCAATAGAGGGTCATGGGGCCTCTGTGTCCTTGCCCACACTCAAAAAAAAGCCTATAAAAAAGGTACCAGGGGCATTTAATGTGGCTCCCTACTGACCCCGGGCCCTCGGGCAGTGCCTGAGTGCTTGAATGGTCAGTCCACCCCTGTATATATATATATCTCCTAGATTGTAAGCTCCAAGGATCAGGCCCTCCTATCCCTCTTGTATTGAACAGTACTATTGCTGTATTGTATCCCGTTATATTGTAAAGCGCTGAGCAAACTGTTGGCACTATATAAATCCTGTAATAATAAAGAAATAAAAAATATATATATATATATATATATATTAGAAATAAAAAGATTTTAAAGAATATATATATATATATATATATATATATATATATATATATATATATATATATATATATATAGAAGTAAAAAATAAATTATATATATATATAATTTATTTTTTACTTTTTTCTTCTTATTTTTATTTTTCTTAATATATATATCTTTTAATATATTTTATTATTATTTATTTATTTTGTATTTCTGTATATATATATATATATATATATATTCAGAAATAAACAGATTTTTAAAGAATATCCATAGAAAATAGAGTAACTTAGACCCGTTATAGTTTTCCTTTAGTACCGTGAGCTTACATATTTCTATGACAGGTTCCCTTTCTGTGTTTGGCCTATGCAGGACCGTCTACCCAGCCTTACATCCTAGCTTTGCCTTCCTGATACTTCATCCAGCCACAGAGAGTGGAGAGGAATACCCAATACACGCGTGTATGGGAAGCACGTGACTCCCTCCCATTGGGACCATGTTACTCGGCCATTGGTTGCCTAGCCATGAGGTCCGGCCAACCTCCAAGTCTTCTCCTTGCTCCAGGAGGCCTAACAGAGCATCAGGGGATCAAAGGGAAGGTCAGCTAGATGCCTCTGGAAAGGGTCGGCAGTTGAGTCGATCTGTTGATTGGATTTGCATGGCCACAGCATAGGTCCACGATTACAGAAATAGGATTTGGCAAATTTACAACTTTCTAAACCGCGTGTCAGGTGGACATCTGGAGAACAATGCCAAAAAAACACTAAAAAAAAGAAAAAATAAACTAAAAATATATTGGAAGTTGCAGATTTTTCACCAATAAGGCGTTGTGTTAACTGCCATCGATTTTTCCAGCTCCTTCAGGGTATTTCTTTCCCATCTTCTGGACCATCAGTATTAGAGCCGTCATACAAACACAAGGAACGTGGCAGTCATTTTTTCAGCCCTTCGATGTTTGCCTGTATATTACAGCAGCTTTTTCCGTCTCTGTAGGCAAGGACGCGGCCCGTACCCCCGGGTAGAGTGTGACCGCCGCGCGGTTTAGATTATTTACACTTCACAATGAACCGTCGTTCCCGAGCGTTAAATGTTTCATGATCATTTTCTTTTTAGGCCTGACAGGGTTTAAATAATGAACGTGGTATGTACATTAATAAAAAATAATGTTTGTCTCTTGGAGCGTCTGGCATCCTCGTCTTCTTAGAAAGTGAAGGCGTAGACCACGCCGACCACCACGATGTTCCCAATGGTGGCGATGATGGCAATCCATAACAAGATGGCGTCGTTGGAGGAGTGGGAGGGCTCTTCGGGGGGGCTCTGGGCGGTCGAGGCCGCGTGGTGGACGTTGGCAGAAGAGTTAAATAAGGAATACTCTGTTCCAAATTCCTCGTTGGGCGAATCCATGAAGGCCCCTCCCATTACGGGGAGCTGTAGGAGAAAACAGAAAAGTCAGTTTAAACTCTCTTTGAATGAAAAAGTCTATTTAAAACCATCCTATATATGGAAGAAAAATATATTTCCAATATAAAAATATAAATATAAATAAATATATAAAAAAAAAAATATACATGCGACACGTATTTACAATATATTGGCCTACACAAATATATGTTAACATGTATTCCAAAAATGTAAATTAAAATATATTTTCCAAAGGCCTATTATTTTTTTTTCAATCCAAAGGCTTATATTTAAAAATATTTTTTACAAAATATATTTTCCAGATATTTTTGAACATCTAAAAAATGCATTTAAACATAGATTAAAATATGTTAAAATATTTTAAATATACTTGTAAATGCATTCCAAATTACACTTTGATATATATTATAGCATGTGTTCTGAATATATTTTTAATAATATTTTCACAAATATATTGAAATATATTTTTGAAATATATTGAATATGGCCAAAATTGTAGTATTTGAAATATATGTCAATATTTTTGGGAAGAATATATTAAGAATGTATTTTTAAAATATATTTAAAATATATTATTCTTCCATGTGGGATTAGATGTTGTCACAACAGTGACATTGCCAAATCTTAATCCAAATCTCCTGAAACCAGCAGTCAGAGGCAACAGTGCCTTAGATGATCTCACACTGCAGATACACAAATAGGAGGCTACAGAACAGGGAACAGGGTTGCCTAGGGCCAGGAAGTGCTGTGCTACCCCACATGGAAGAAAAAGTGCTGAAATTCCCATCGGTAGGATGGGGGTAGGTTCTAGATCAAGATGCTTAATGCCACACCAGGAATAAAAACAAATCCCCTTTTGCAGGAGGCCCTCCCTACCCATATGGAAGAAAAATATATTTGAAATATATTTTTAAAATATTCTTCCCAAATATATTGACATATATTTGAAATACTACAATTTTGGCCATATTCAATATATTGCAAAACCGTACATATCATATCAACGACTTTGTACATCCGGGTGGATTATACCGCATTTTTTTTTAGGACAAATTGGGCTTTCATTTGGTGGTGAATGGTCATGGATATCTCCTGATTATTTTTTATTACCAAAGGAAAACTGGCCTGAAATAGTAACACAAAACTTTTTTTTTTTATATTTCGCTGTATATTTCTTCCTGCTACCATAATGTACCACCAGAGAACAACCCAAAATAATTTCTCATGCTCCTGACGATCGCAGCAATACAACATATGTCTATGTTCGTTGTTGTTTGTACCCGTAGTACGGCCCAGAAACAAGAGAGCAAATTTTGGTTTTTTTTTTTTATCCTGCCACTAACTGATGCTGGTACTAATTTAAAAATTGGCATGAAAACCCCTGACCAAAAAAAACAACAAACCTGATCCTGACCCTTGACCCTGACCTTGATCTTTGACCCTGCCCTTGACCCAATCACTAACCCTGGCACAGACCTAGATCAAACCTTGATCTAGGTGTTTTTGTTTATGTTTTTATTATTATTATTATTATTATTTTTTTATTAATTTATTTATTTTTACACACTGTCTCCCCCCCCCTCTCTCTCTCTCTCTCTCTCTCTCCCTCTCTCTCTCTCTCTCTCTCTCTCTCTCTCTCTCTCTCTCTCTCGAGAGAGAGAGAGAGAGAGAGAGAGAGAGAGAGAGAGAGAGAGAGGCAATGTATAATGGAATGTATATAATGTATAATAGAATGTGTATAATGATACAATGTATAATGGAACATATATAATGATACAATGTATAATAGGATGTATATAATGATACAATGTATAATGGAATGTATATAATGATACAATGTATAATGGAATGTATATAATGATACAATGTATAATAGAATGTATACAATGATACATTGTATAATAGGATGTATATAATGATACAATGTATAATGGGATGCATATAATGATACAATGTATAATGGGATGTATATAATGATACAATGTATAATAAAATGTATATAATGATACAATGTATAATGGAATGTATATAATGATACAATGTATAATATAATATATATAATGATACAATGTATAATGGAATGTATATAATGATACAATGTATAATAGGATGTATATAATGATACAATGTATAATGGAATGTATATAATGATACAATGTATAATGGGATGTATATAATGATACAATGTATAATGGAATGTATATAATGATACAATGTATAACGGGATGTATATAATGATACAATGTATAATAGAATGTATATAATGATACAATGTATAACAGGATGTATATAATGATACAATGTATAACAGAATGTATATAATGATATAATGTATAACAGGATGTATATAATGATACAATGTATAACAGGATGTATATAATGATACAATGTATAATGGAATGTATATAATGATACAATGTATAATAGAATGTATATAATGATACAATGTATAATGGAATGTATATAATGATACCATGTATAATAGAATGTATATAATGATACCATGTATAATAGAATGTATATAATGATACAATGTATAACAAAATGTATATAATGATACAATGTATAATGGAATGGATATAATGATACAATTCCTCATGAAGACCCCCTGCCAGGTGGCCTTAATGACTTCCTCCACCAGACACCTTTCCCACCCTTGGAAACAAAAGAAATGTTAATGAGCAACTCACACCTTATTGTCTCATCACATACTGCTGTCTCTGCTTCTACTCTCTGTATTCTCCTATGCATATCTTTAAATAACGCTTCTAAACGCAAACGCACATAAATACGGTATGCAAACGCGGCTAAACAGACATTCTTTAACCTGCGTTTTCAAGCAGTCAGTTTCCATCGTTCAGAAGTGTCCCGTGTACATGGGGCCTTAGAATCACTTTATCCATGGATACACATAAAAGTGAAACGGATACATTTGAAACCCATCACAGAGCTGGAGAACAAAGTGAAAGAATGTCGACTTTTTCTTTTGTCTCCACCCTGGCATTACAGGTATTGTGGCAATTTGAGATAAGAAATGTCAGCTGCCTGACACCCCAACTGGGTATCTCCTCCAAACTACAGCTTCCTCCACTCTGGAACCAGAATATAGACAATGTACCCCAGGCATCAGACAGAATCAATGAGCAAAACAAGGACTAATGTTATTAACCTCTTCACGCCGACTGAACGCAAATGTGTGGCCTCCCGGCGCCTGGGCCTAGATGCCGAGCGGCCGCACATTTGCATTCTATTAAAAAAAAAAACATATGTGCCGAGAGCGCGCGCTCTGCACGCTCCCAGCACACATGTCCGGTACTTACGGAAAGGTCCCGATCTCCTCTTTCGATTGAGACCTTTCCCGATCATGTGACCGCCGTGACGACATGTCACGGCGGTAACATGACCCTAAACCCCGCCCTTCCTCCCGGCTTCTGAAACCCTTAAACCATTTATACACAAAACCTGCCCTCTAGACAGGTATGGCCCACATTACAAGTCCTCAGAGAAAATTACATTACGTAAACAATCAAAAACAAGAAAAAAAATGGATTCCTTCCCGGCACCTAGCAGTCTGGAGGTGATTAACCACTTTCCCGCTGCCCTATAGCAGATATATATGTGATCAGGGGCAGACTGACAACTCATGGGGCCCCCGGGCAATAGAGGATCATGGGGCCCCTGCTTCCTCGCCCATACGCAAAAAAGCCTAAAAAAATTCAATGAAAGGTACCAGGGGCATCTCATGAGGCCCTCTACTGACCCCGGGCCCTTGGGCAGTGCCCGAGTGCTCGAATGGTCAGCCCCCCCCCCCCCCTGTATGTGATTTTACATTTCCGGGTAGGGGGTGAAAGCAAGCTGTGAGAGTGTCCTACCCGTGACACTATTCGCGGCCTCGGCTGTCAATCACCGGGTCCCGGCCGGTGATTACTCGCCAGCACCTGGAGATCGCAGAGCATTACCGACGGAGGGAGAGAACTGCATGTAAAAAATACAGATCTCTCCCTTGTCAGCTCCTGCACACTGCTTTGTATGGCTTTGCATAGCATCACTGGCCCATTGTTGGTGTTAATGGGAGGAATAGCCCTTCATATCTTTGGAAGGAATAGTGTTCCAACCCACATAGGAGAAAAAAATAATTGAAATATATTTTAAAAATATTTTTCCCAAATATATTGACATGTATTTGAAATGCTACAATTTTGCTCGTATTCAATATATTTCAAAATATATTTCAATAAATATATATATACAGATTTGGGAACTCAGCACAGGGATGGTGGGAACCCCTCATAATGGGCCCAGCAGGTGCGCAGACCCAGAGACTGACTCTTTAAGCAATTAATAATAATCAGATTAAAAATATATAAATATTCGGCGCCATGTTTCTTCTTGTTGGCACATAACTATCTCTTTCTAGGTCACCCTGGAATTTTTCTTGCAGTCCAAGCTCTTTAAGATGCTGGTGTATTATGGGATGGAGATGAGCCCGACCTCGAGGTCAATGTAATAAACGGCCATTTGAACCCTGTGGAGGAACCGCCCGGCACGTAGCTGAATGTCTACAAATTGCTTTGCAGTAAGTGTCAGCGATGTTTTATGGTGGTCGGTATATTCACATATCCCAGCGCATACGGCCGGCTATGAAATCCAATCACTGGGGGGGCCGGCTATGAAATCCAATCACTGGGGGGGGGCGGCGGCGGCTATGAAATCCAATCATTGGGGGGGGGGGGGGGGGCGACTATGAAATCCAATCACTGGGGGGGCCGGCTATGAAATCCAATCACTGGGGGGGGGCCGGCTATGAAATCCAATCACTGGGGGGGGTGGCTATGAAATCCAATCATAGGGGGGGCCGGCTATGAAATCCAATCATAGGGGGGGCCGGCTATGAAATTCAATCACTGGGGGGGTCGGCTCTGAAATCCAATCACTGGGGGGATCGGCTATGAAATCCAATCACTGGGGGGGCTGGCTATGACATCCAATCACTGGGG